GAATTGACCACTGTGCCCTTATAAATTGCATTTTTAAGAGGAGAATGCTTTTTTGTTCTGTTTTTCAGGGATGAAATTAAAGAGATGATTCTTATTCTGGTGAAAATAAAAGCTTTGAATGAAGCAGAATCCTTCATAGAAGAATATCACCTAGACCATCTTAAATCACTAATTAATGAAGTTTGAGTAAACAATAGAAAAGTGCTAAAATGAGGTTTTAATATAGTTATACTCAGTTGCTTATAAAAACCTGCTGCCTCTTCTTTATTCCCTAGAATGGGGAAATAGCAAGACTCCACCCTTTCATGTCCTCCAAGCTCTGCCTTCTGTTATCATGAAAGGCTGCCTTGATTCTGTGATGTCTGAAGGAATTAACTGCACAGGAGTAGTAAAGAGTTCAATGTGTTTCCTCTTAATTCCTTTGACTCCTTTACCAATTTAGGAAGAGAATGGGAAAAACCTTGCTCCTTAGCTATTCGGGCAGAGCATGTTCCTGTCTTCTGCCCTAAATTATAAAAACATCTTTTCATACTCTTTATTTTAACTACCTCTATTTAAAAATAAATAGAGAAATCTTAATTGGAATGAATTATTTGTTAAGTATTAAATAATTAAAGCATTTGTATAACTGTCAAATTGTGCTTTAGAAATCTGTACTAATTCATTATTTCAACACAAATATAAGAGAGTCCCATGAATCCCCACCAGCAGTGAGAATTATCACTTTTAAAGTCAATGCAAATTTGATAGGTAAAACGAATCTTATTTTCATTGCTTGCTTTGTTTTGGCTATAAGAGAATGCACATATGTTGATTTTGGCCATGCATAATTATTATTTTAAATATCCATTCATCTTTTTCTTATGGACTTTTAAGACCTTTATATTTTAAAGATATTGATCTTTTGCCTATGCTGTATAGCAAATAATTTTCCTTATTTGCCTTTTCTCTTTTAGTTTTGCATATGTTTTTTGATGTGCCAAGTCACTACTTGTTAACATGTTACTACTTACATTGAGCTTTTGTGATAGTGGATATTTGTATGGTTACCTTTGGGATGGCCCATGCATATTTGTATTTTAAAATAAAAATCTCTTTTAAAATAAGCACTTCCAAAAAACTAACTTAAGCACAGGAGAATTTAGAATTAAAACTATAAATTCAAAACTCTTATTAAGCATTTTTAAAATGTATTTTAATGTTCTTGGTTATTTTTAAGACTCAGCACTTATTAGGTATAGATTTGGAGCCTCTATTTACCTAGCATTAGCTAGATCTCTATTTTGAATGTCTCATTTACAGCATGAGGTGTTTAGGGGCATAAATACAGTGGTGTTCTTATAAACCACCTCTCCAAAAATTAAAAAGAAGAAAGAAAAGCCCATCTTGTAGCACTTGCTAATGTTGATGGTGTAAATACTCCATGGCTCCTATACGAGCTGATAACAGCACAGCACTACTAAAATTTCTGATTGTAGATTTGGGCTGTAAGTTTTTACAGTAATTCACATTGAATTTTTCAAAATACATTCACTAATAGTCTGTATTTGAACTTTATAATTAAGTGGAGAAGGTGGCATCTCTCTGTATTTTATGCTACTTTAGATATTGGCTTTCAAGGCAAATATTCATTTTAGATTAATGACTGATGATTAGGTCC